AGTTGAGCTGTGTTCATACATTATCCCAAATGTTTTCAACAATTTTCAAACTCATCATTTCTTTCAGGTCACAATCCAAAGTCTGCAGTCTCCAGTATTTCTGGTTCCAAGAATCTTGAATGGAACCGGTTCAAGAACCAGAGATAGTTTGTTGGAGAAGGAGCATGATAGGCCTTTTCTACCAACAAGAAACTGCCTCTGTTCTGGTTCACGCACCTACTTTGAACTGTTTGGAGTATTTTGATAAAAAATAAATTGATTTGGAACCCAAAAAGTTTGTTCCCAACCAATAAAATGTAGGTTTTCTTTGGTATTCTATAGGTCATTGTGCATTGTGTAACATCCTCTAATGATTAAGCATCCTTGATTATAATGGTTCTGCTCAAAACTGGTGGAAACCAAGAATCTTGAATGGAACCTGCTCAAAACACTAACAGAGGCATCAGTATTACATTCAGACTGTTTCATAACCAGTTAAAAACTCCTTGTAGTATGTTTCAATGAAAAAAAATGAATTTAATGGAAAAACATGTTTACATTCTTAAAACGTACTACTTTAAGAATGGATAATTTTGCATAGGGACCAAAACTCTTTGCACTTGTAGGGGCCCACAGCTCATTTATGCCCCTGGCTCCTCTAATGGGTTAATACAGCCACACTGGTTTCAACATATTTGTAATTATACCCACCAATAACCAGAAACTTAATAGAAATTCTCACAGCATTTTTTATTTAGTAAACCCCAGGTAAGCCAGGTTCACACAGGATTACATTCCCTGATGATCTCAGCAGTGATTACAAAATCCCAGAATGTCTCGAGGTGATATTAGTCCTGTGCAAAAGCAGTCTTAACGACTCCTCAATTCACACCTGAGTTCCCATCATGAAGAGGGCATGACAGAACAAACCATTGCGTTCACACCCCGAAGCAGCCAGTATTTGAACAAACCTGTCCACCTCAGGCTTCATCAAGCAGGCTGAGCCACGAAATGGTATCGCAAAGCTCACGCTGAAGCACTAGCCCAGGGATCCTCAGTTTGAAAGGGAAATAATAACGCTATTTTTATTCTGACAAATTCTCAGGTCAGTAAAGAGGTCTGACTTGTTCATAACAAGTGCTATCTCTGAGAAGAAACATTCTTCTGCAGAGCGTAGAGATAAGCGTACATATTGAGCACAAGCACATGGATCATTTCAACATTATACCTTTGACCACGGCGGTAAACAAACCTCAGACAGATATGACTAATCAAGAAAGACTCGTCGCTGCCTGTTTGGTGAGATAGTAATTTAAGAATTACGCTCTTAAACCCAAATAATTCACCCACCCACCATTTTTCTAAAGTCACAAATGATTCTCAGGTCCCAAAAGAGCCATGGAAGCAAACGACAAAGGCGGGACATAAATAGCAAACAGAATACAGTGATTCATAGCAGCCTCACAGCAGATCACACAAATTTGTCAAGTTAATGTTTAAATACCAGTAAAAGGAGTAAAAAGTCTATTCTGGGTCTGACTATTTTAGCCTCCAAGTCGACTAATCCACAGTGACCGACCATGTGTGCAAAACACAGCTAAGCCTGAGTGAAAAACTGCAATCTAGGCCACATGATTTCTTAAACAATCTGGGCATCCCCCCATTACAGATCTCAGTTCTGCTACTTTTTTTATTTCCTTTCTCCAGGGGGAATATATTGGCCACCACCTTCTGTGACAGGTCCAGAATGAGAAGGATAGAGGCATTCGAGTTCCAGAGTGGCATGAAGAAGAGGCCTGGGCTCACGATATCCCCATTCCAGCTACATGAAAGCCCTGTCATTCTCCATTTATTGCACCGCCGCAGCCTTCATGAAACAAGGCCTTTTTTTTCAAGAGGAAAAAAACATGATTTTATCTCTAATCTTTCTTTACCTTTTCAAGCCGGTAATTGAAAACAGAGCCACAAGGAGGCTGTGAGCGGTAGGTCTTTAATGCTGACCAGGCGAAACATACACACAGAGCCTATAAGTGCCTACTCATAATATCTAGCTGCTTTTTACTGTATGTACAGTCCTGATGAGCGATAACATTTGACAAACAGCAAAGGAAACCATAGTTGCAGTATCTGATACGCAGTGTAAACACTCCCCCATGGATGTTGATAATGACACTGAAGGGCTTTCTCCAGCAGGTTAAAGATTGGCTAGATCCCGTCTAAGACCGTGCTTTCTCCCACCATGCCGGGCTGTTTAAACATTCTGATAAGCCAGCGTGTCTGTTTGCCTTTGGGTTTCTGAAAGCTCATCTGCTGGGTGGCCGGTGTGCGGAGGGGGAAAGCCCTGCAGGGACTGAGGCTATCTCCCATCGCGACCACTACTCCAGCAGACAAGAGGATCCACAGTGCAGATTAGGACGAGCACAATTCTGGGAAGGGGCTACACAGCTTTACTGGAAAATGCTAATCAATTACAACTTCACTCTTATTTTCAGTGGCTTTATAGAGAAAATATTAGCTCATGCCAGAAAATGGACAGAAAAGACAACTACTGCTGTCCAGTGACCAATCCCTAAACCACTAAAAAGGGTCAGTATTGGCACCTGTGCTATTTTTACTGTCGGCTTGTTTACAACTCGCCTGATCGCCTCCCTGTCTCTGTTTTTTGCCCCATTGGACTTCACTGTTGCCATGTTTCCTGTAATAAATTATTATTATTATTATTAATTATTAAATTTTGAGTTCAGTGTTGTCGTAACTGATAGAAATTATGGCCCAAAGTACAAAAGGCCAAGTCCAGTTAATCAAAACTGGACTTGCCCTTTAACTCAATCTCACGAGCAAAACACAGTTCATTTTCTTTGCTTTTTTTTTTCAGAAAAAGCCCATGTGTTTATCAGTACGTCCGACTGCGCTTGGCACCCGGAAATGTTTACAGAAGCAACAAAGCGGCAAATGAGGCCTCAAAATTTGAATGCCTGCATGACACAGGCAAGTAAGTGTTTCTGCAGCTCTCCCCACCACTGGCAGTGTATTGAGTGACAAGTACAAACACAGCCGTCCCGGCCCAGCATTCGTGTCCCAGCGGCGGGAGGAGCAGCACGACGCACACCGACTAGCTGCCGGCGAGTTTCCGTTCCTGGCAGCAGATGCCGCAGCAGAACTCTCAGACTGACACACCACGATGGGATGATAGTGAGTGAGAGGTTCCTTGTCGTTTGTCCCTGCAGTAACTCTTTTTCTTCCGAGTGGAAATATCTACAAGGTAATTACACCAAGTAGCCTTCTTCACTGACAAAATGACTGACACCTTACTGGCAAACACTGACACGCAAACATGTTAAAACATTATACAAAACTCAAAACTCTTTACTACTTGCAAGGACAAGAGGACTTACAGTCCAAAGTGTAATTACATTTGTAATGTAAAATCTATAAGAGTGAAAAAAGGGCCATTTATGTAAGTCTGGTCTTCTACTAAAGGCCGACTAATGGCTTGTACTTGTTGACACGGGCCCGTTAAAAAAGCTCTGCAGCAGACACAACAGCCGGCTTATTTACAACACTGAGAAATTAGTTAGTCCTTAGAGAAGCAGGTTGAGGTTAAGCAGAGAGAAGGGAAAAAAATAGTCTTACATTCCAGCCAGCTCCTCGGCAGGCTACAGAACCGGCATCTGTAATTTCCCTTCCAGTGGTCAAGCACTTTCATTCAGTGATGGGGGGGGGGGNNGGGGCAAGCTGCAGTCAGCAATTTTATACAAAGAGAGGAAGAAGAGCCTGAGAAAGGAGAGGTCCTCAGAGCAGTGGGATAGAGATAATCAAACGCTCCTGTGACTATAATGTCTCAATCACAGCACATACTGGCCCAGAGAATAAAACAAAGTCTCCTTATCTTATGCAGACACGCATACACAAGAAAAGGGGAAAAACGGATTTCTATATTTTTGTAAGATCTCGGTTTATTTCTTTTTCCCCTGAGCTGAGCTTCTTAACATTCTTGAATTACATCCAGTTTCTCTCACGCTTTGGCAGTATCATGACACTCTGGGTGAGGGACAGCAAGGGAGGAGGGGAGAGTGCCAATGACTCCTTATGCGACAGCCTGACATATCCCTTCTAGGCCAAAATAGAAAATAATCATTTCCCTTGTCTGGGGGTGACGCCATAGTGCTTGGTGTTTTTTTCTTCCTCAGTTAATCTTGTGCCTTTGCTAACAGACTGGATTCCAAATTTGCCCTTTTACTTTTCTGTGCAGTTTTCTATATATTTTCTGGGGCTTGTTGGTAAAGTGACGTGCCAACCGAAATACGCCCATGGCATCAAGAATCAAAAACTGTAATGTATCAAATATGACCAAGAATGCTTGGTCAGAATTTCAGACCCCACTGGAAGGGCATATTACAGTATTTAGGTCATGTGGACCCTCGAGGCTATGCAGGTCAGAAAGTATTTTTTTTTAGGGTTTTGGATCAAAAAGTAACTCATAC